TTTTTAAAGGCTTTTTATCACAAATGGTCCTTGACGTTTACAAAATTATCACGAATGGTCCTTGAGGTTTTTTTGTGACACTAATAGTCCTTAACGTTTGGACTTTTTATCACAAATGGTCCTTGCCGTCAAAAATTCTGTTAAGTGTATGATGTGGAAGATAAGTGGAGCCCACATGTACAATCACATCGTGACATGTGGATTAAATAAATAAATAAATAATTTTTTTTTTATGAAAATCCATTAAAAAACTATTTAGCCTCTCTCTCTCTCTCTCTCTCTACTCTCTAAATGGTTTTTTTTAATGGATTTTCATAATAAAAAAATATTTATTTATTTATTTAATCCACATGTCACGATGTGATTGTACATGTGGGCTCCACTTATCTTCCACATTATACACATAACAGAATTTTTGACGGCAAGGACCATTTGTGATAAAAAGTCCAAACGTTAAGGACTATTAGTGTCACAAAAAAACCTCAAGGACCATTCGTGATAATTTTGTAAACGTCAAGGACCATTTGTGATAAAAAGCCTTTAAAAAAAGTCTTGTAGTCTGCTGCACTCCACTGAACTTCACTTTTGGGCTCTCTCAGTTCACACTTTCAAAACGGTTTCATTTCATATGCACCATTTTTGTTTCCATTTTTGCTTTTGAGTATGTGAGATGAATTACTTGGGTCCTCTCATCACTTCAGTTTCTGAATTGGAGGAAGAAAGAAGCCATGTTCTTTCAAACCCAAGAACAAAATTGGTAAGTCCATGCATTTTGTTTCATAAAGTTCACTTCTTTGATTAGGTATAGTTTTAAATTAGTGATTTTTTTGTTTAAGTTAAGGATTGGTTACATATTTCTAATCTCGGCTGTTGGATTGCATTCATTAGATGTGTTGGTAGATTTAATATGCAACATTCATTCAATCCAACGGTTGATATTAAAAATATGTAACTAATCCTTAACATAAAATACTTACCGAAGAATCTCCCCAAACTTAATGCCCAACTGTAGTTTTAACTTTTGTTTTGAATGACTTTATGCATTATTATAATTTGATTTCACACTGCAAACACGGTTTCAACTTTGAAGACTCACTGCTTTTGTTCTCTTCTTTTTGCCCTCTTGTTATGATGACTGTTTTGCAATGATGGGTGATGAAAAGTTTGTGTATATAAATAATGAGAGAGAGAGAGAGAGAGAGAGAGAGAGAGAGAGAGAGAGAGAGAGAGAAATTACAATTGGGCTTTATTTTAATAATTTGAATTATTTTGGTGCAGAAGATGCCAGTGTGTGTGTTATGGGTATCAAGGAATCAAATTTCCAGATTTCCCACGTGCAAACTCATGGAATCATCTGAATTATCTTATCCTCGTCATTCATAAATTGGTCTTCTGTGGTTGCCATGCTTGACTATTGGTCTTCATGGTGAAAAGGGAAAACTTTAATTTTAAAGTTGATCAAACAGAATTGGAATTGAACAATGGAAGCTCCAGTGAGGCAACAGAGCTTCAGTGAGAAGAAGATGACTAAGCAGTTAACAGGAAAACGTGAAGACACTCCCTTGCATTTGGCAGCAAGGCAAGGAAATTTGGGATTGATCATAGAAATCATCTCTAATTGTGGGGAGGCGGATTTGAATGAAGTGTTGTCGAAGCAGAATCATTCGGGTGAAACCGCCTTATATGTGGCAGCTGAATGTGGCTATGTTGATTTGGTGAAGGAAATGATGAAATACTATGATATTGGTTCAGCTGGCATCAAAGCTAGAAATGGCTTTGATGCATTTCACATTGCTTCCAAGCAAGGGAACTTAGGTAAGCCTCTATGGATGTTTCCAAGTTTAGTCACCTTGTTCCGTCTTTTAATATGATGTTAATTTGCACCACATACAATAATCACAAAGGAAATAGTTTCATCTTATTGCATAAAATTCTTTTCCTCATTTTCATTTGTGAATTTTGTAGGAGACTAGGAAAATTTGTAAATAAAGATTGAAATTGAAAAATAATAACAGTATTGTGGCTTACCTAGTAACCTGTAATTTTTGGAGTAAATCATCTCAAATCATTGTTCTGTTGCTGAATTGCAGAGGTGCTGAAGGTCCTCATGGAGGCCATTCCAGAACTTTCGATGACCGTTGATCACTCAAACAGCACAGCATTGCACACTGCTGCAGCACAGGGCCATATTGAAGTAGTTAATTTCCTCTTGGAGACCGGTTGCAGCTTGGTGTCCATAGCACAACGCAATGGGAAAACTGCCTTGCATTCTGCAGCAAGGAAGGGGCATTTGGAGGTGGTCAAGGCCCTTTTGAGTAAAGAAACTGGAATTGCAACAAGAAATGATAAGAAGGGGCAGACAGCTCTCCATATGGCAGTCAAGGGACAGAATGTTGAGCTGGTAAATGAGCTAGCGAAGGCAGATCCTTCCTTAATAAACGTGGTCGATAACAAGGGCAACACTGCCTTGCACATAGCAACCCAGAAAGCTCTAGTTCAGGTAATAAAAGGTGTTCTTTTTGGCATTTAAAACATTTCAAAGAGAGATGGGCCTATGCTGATTACTAAACTGTTATTTATTTATATGCATAATAATCGTCATATAAAGTCGAATTGTGACAATGAATGAGGTCCAATTGGGCAAAGGAACATAATACTTAAATGGTCATTTGAATCCTCATATGGTTAAGCCCCTGAGATCATACTTTTTTGCAGATTGTGCGGGTGCTGTTAAGTTATAAGGGAGTGGCCAAAACCACCATTAACAAATCTGGAGAAACTGCTCTTGACACTGCTGAGAGATCGGGGCACTCACTGATCGCTGCTATTCTAGTAGAGCATGGCATTGAAAGTGCCAAATCCATAAAGCCACCAACTTTAAACACAAACCGTGAACTCAAACAAACTGTAAGTGAAATAAAACACGAGGTGCATGACCAGCTTAAGCACACAAGACAAACACGAAAGCAAGTGCATGGTATGGTAAAGCGGCTCAGCAAAATGCATTCAGAGGGACTAAACAATGCAATAAACTCCACCACAGTTGTGGCTGTCCTCATTGCCACTGTTGCCTTTGCTGCAATATTCACTCTCCCGGGCCAGTACCCTAAACCCCCTGAAAAAGCGCCTCCTGGAAATATTGCCCTCGAAGAAGTTCCTCCTGGATACTCCCCTGGAGAAGCGAATATTGCCCCCAGAACAGAGTTTGTAGTCTTCTTTATCTTTGACTCTTTTGCTCTCTTCATATCATTGGCTGTTGTGGTGAATTGCCTGCCTCCTAATTTGTTTTCTGGTCCCTGATGTATATAAGTGATGTGGAGCATAATCTCAGCCATTCTCAATTAGGCAAGTAGAAGTTGATGTTCTACAAGATGGCCAGTTAAATATGTAATAGCAGGGCTTGTTCTTTCAAGCATATTGAGAAGATATATTTTCCTTGACCCAATTTTGTAACTTACAAAAGTAAGAGGTTTTTATTTTTGTTTTTTATATATACTAAAATGTATGTATATATGCATATTACACATCCAACTTATACCTGTTTCCAAAAGCCCACGACCACTAGATCATCCAATTATGTTTTGGATTGGATGGCATCATTTGGATGAAGTAACTTAGCTGAGAAAGGAGCAAGACTTGGAAATCCACCTTAGCTGTAACATGATGATATATTTGGAGTTTTGGACCATTCTACCAAGTCCTTATGCAGAAAAAGTTTTTTTTTTTTTTTAAAGTGTACATGCCTTTAGGCCTTTCTTTTTTCCTTAAAATGGGTAAACAGGATAAAAGAGAAGCCTTTTTCCTGTCTGCAACTCTTTTTCTCATTTTATAGGTGGTCATGTTAATGAGGACATGCACCAGAATAAAAGTTGAAGAAGATGACAAGGTCATTGCAGAAAAACATTTAGTCCAGAAACATCTCTGCAAGTGCAAGGAAATAATGTTGATGCCTTGAATCCCTCCAAGCTGACACTACCCACATGCAGACATGCTCCACTTGCTCACCGGTCCCACCAAATGCCACATATACATCTCATACCCTCCATTAAGATAAACACTTGATATCGCAGTTTTTGTTACTCTGTTCCATCACGATATGTCATGTGTGATAAGTTTTTCACGTGATAGTCTGTGATTCCTATCCCGTTTCATATAAGTTTTTCTGCATCATTAGGACATGCTTAGTCTATTTTTTTCCTCCTTGTTCATGTAGACAAATGAAGTCAATAGAGAAGGATATTATGTATGAGGAGAAAGAACAATTTGTTCCTTATGTGATGCTAAGAGCTCTGGCCTCTCCAAATTCCAAAATCATAATATATATTTTCTCAGAAACACCAATAATTAGTCTATTGGTCCCCATTACATTTCCAATATAAGTGCCTTAAATTTTCCAACATATTATAGTGTTGAAATTTCCATTCCCTCAATTTATGATATCAGAGACCTCTGCTTTCAAAAAAATATGATCTTGTCTGGTTTAGTGGCATATCAATCTGAACAGGACATAAATACAAGAAAAGCCATAAAACTTAAAAGCAGCTGATAATGCAGGTAGTTTTCTAACTTTTTCACCCTCATTTTACTAGTAGATAGAGAAGTTGTTACTAATAATTTCTAACATGTGTGAAAATAAAAGCACTCATCCTCTCATCGAGAAAAACTTAGTTACAATGGAGATAGCAAACCGATTAATAATGTTAAGCAACATAGAAGTGTTATCACACATGTTATAACGTTATTGACCGAACATAGCAAAATAGTGTTATCCCTATTTCGTGAAAAATTTTCTCCTCATCCTCAAGAGCACAAGACCTATCCTTCTCAACTTCGGCATAGACAACCATGTTGATGTTATGGTGGGGATATGAGTTTCTTGTTATATGTGCTTGTATTGTATGTATTTCCTAGTGATCTACAAATAAGTTTCATACATCTTGTCCTGTCAAAAATCTAGCAGACACATTTTTTGAAATGAATGTTCAGTCAAAATCAAAAGAAAAAGAAAAAGAATGGAATGCTAAAATGTTCTTGGCCTGAAAATTGACATTTCCAATTAATCTTTTGACTTCAATAATAGTTTTGGTGTGACATTTGCTGTGACATTCCTTTTTATTTATTTAAATACATTTCTGATACATGTAACATGCCTCTGTGGATGCTCTGCAGAGGCAGACAAGAAACACTCTGTAACTATAGCTTTCAATGCAGTAAAATGAATTCAAACACGACTTGGTGTTTAATTTTCTAGGCTGAACTGCTGGAGAACAATTATTGTGCTTCTTTTTAGAAAAACAAAGTATTATAGGATGTGACTTACTCTCACTCGAATTCGTATTTCCTTTTCGTAGTTTAGATTAGTTTAAAATAAATTATTATTTGTATATAAAAAAATTAGGAAGTCACCTTAATCATAGGGAACATCTGTTCCCCTATAGAGATTATGAGATCACCTGATAATTAGGAAAGTCACCTTAATGACAGAGAAAAGGTGAATGGATGATGTGTCCCTAACTTTTATGCAGTACAGTAGTGACCAGAAGTCTAGGAGAGAAAGAACAGTAGAACAAATATCACCCACAGTTCTTTTGGGTAAATGTAAAACTAAAAAGTCTAAAAGGACGATGATGGTTTTATCCAAAAACAACAAAGAATGATGGACATAAAGCCTGAAACTTTCATTGAGAATCTAGTTCAGGAGAAAAAAGCAGCTTATAGAAGCCAGCTAGCTGCTGGTGTGGACAAAGACCTAGCTAATTTTACCGTACCCGAACCACTACAAAAGTTTGAGTCACTCACTCACTTTATAGAAAAAGGTTTCTATTATTTTGGGGGACTTTACTAGTTGTGCTAACACATTTTCAATTTCTTTCCATTACTTATGATATTTCCAAATTGTTTCCATTTTCAGCATCAATTAAGAGCACTTTCACCCTTATGGGCAAGGGCAAGGTAAGGACAGAGCAAGGGCTGTCACTACTTATGTGAATAGCGGAAGCCTTAGCAATTTTGTTTCCACCTCGGGCAAGGGCAAAGGCAATTACTATTCACATGAGACATGAGGAGATAAATTTGTATAGAATTTTGGTGTGAGAAGTAAAGAACATGGCTAGGTATTTATAATAATAAAAATTTTGAATTTTTTATTTTTATTTTTCAATTTTTTTGTTATTTTAATTGATTGCTGACGTCATTATGATATCAGTATTGCGTCACTTTGCCCAGGTAGTAGCACAGGCTGGACTTGGCTGTGGGCTTACCTGGGTTGGTGGGTCCCACACCTGGCCCTTGCTCGCTGGAGTCGTTCACCGGCCTAGGCCCTGTCCTGCTCAGGCAAAAGGGGAAGTCCGTAAAAACCCACTAGTGTAGTGGTTCGAAACAATTGCTTTCAAGAAAGATTTTGGGTTCAAGTCCTCGCATAGGTGTAGTGTGTGTGAGTTTAGTATACTATCATCCCTCTCAATAGGAAAAATTCATCCAAAAAAACAAACTCTAAGGGAAGTCCAACTTGCAACAGTTTATAGATTTCTTGGCGTGTTTAAGGCTTATAGACTATCTTAAAGATCAGGTACATTTAAACCATGTAGTTGTGACTTTTTTCTCCACATTATTCAACATGGAGATATTGGATTAGAATTTATAGATCCATCAGTCACCAAAGATATATAAAACAATATAGTGATCTTTAAAATGTCTTTGTTGGGTCATATCTCGATGACTTTTTTTAATAAAGAGGGGAGCAAGTCATTTGTCACACGCAATAATTATTAACATTAATGCATATTATACTAAGTAACAGAAATAAACAAACCGACTCAATTGTAACTACAAAACTTCTGATGTAACAAAAGTTGAACCAGGGAAAGTGTGTTTAGACTTTTTTTATTTGAACAGTTTAAATCCTCTAAATGAATGCAGGCCAAGAAAGTCTGATGACTCTGATCAAACAGTGCTGGAAAAACGTGCAAATGCCTGTACATCAATCACAGCGCATATTAAATTCAAATGAAGCCCAAATTCAAAAGAGATTAACAGGAAAACTTGGTAGTGGGAAACATTTGAAATTCTCAATCATATAATGTAATCATATTCATGTGTGTGTCTCTCATATCATTAGATGTGGCCTGGTGAGATCTCATGACCCCCACAAACTGCATCCTTGAAGCAGACAGTGAACAGAACCCATGACCTTCATTTGCACTCTTTCTTGAGCTAAACAGCTGCTGGGACTGTTTGCAATGAGCAATTGCTCCCTCTATTGAGCTCTCAAGCTCTGAATTTGCACTGGTACTTCTCTTCAGCAACTGCATATCACAGAACCCACTTGAGCTGAATGAGAAAGATGAAGATGAAGATGAAGAAACAGAGGAAGTTGTGGATGAACACAAGGATTTTGGTGCAGATGGATGTTGAATGGCCCCAGAAAATGACTTTCTGTGGGTATTGGCATTTTCCTCAGCCATTTCTTTCTCAATGCTTTTCATGAGAGTAGTTGATGATATTTGATATCTGCCATTGTCAATTTTCCCAAAAGGGTTTTTCTTGGCCACCTTCATGTACTTATTTGAGCAAAAGTCCTTGACTTTTGAACCATTTTCTGCTTCTGCATTTCTTGCTGGCTTTGCACAAGAGTAGTCATCTGCACAAGTGGGCTTACTGAACAAAGATTTAACATATGCCCTTGAAGCCTTGAGCTTTTGACCCAAAGAAGACTGCTTGATCTGCTTGAGCTTTGTGGACCAAGATTTCTTTGGATGATCATGACCACCAATGAAATTAACACACATTTCAGCTGTCCATTCAGAGATGTACTCATCTGAGGTTAGCTCACTGCTGACCCTGCAAGACTCTGAGGGTGAGATATTGCAGGACCTATCCAATGGGGTGCATGTATTGGTGGAAGGTGTGGTGGTAGAGCTATCGATGAAGGGAATGCTGAAGCTGTCTTCAATGGCTTCTTGGGTTTTGTTCCCAAGTGAGGTGTTTGAGCTCTGAAGGATCTTTTGGACCATCTGTAAGCGTGGTGGGAGATGAAGAGGAAGGAGCTTACCTTTGTAGAAGAGCTCATCAGCTGGGGATGTTGTAGTTTCTTTATCTTGAGAAACTGAGGACATTTGAAACTCAAACTCTCTGGTTTGTGGTGGAGAGCCAAGTGAATAACAGAAGATGTTGGAGGAGGAGCTTACTTCCATGTCTATGTAATCTTCATCTGTATTTTCACCTGAGGCTTGGCTTCTGGCCATCTCATGTAACCCTGCTCGCTCTCTCTCTCTCTCTCTCTCTCTGTATATGTGTGTATA